GCTCTCCCAGAGCTGCAGTTTGAGCCAGTAGCGTGTTAGGTTACGTGCGTAATAACCACTTACCTGTCTTTATAACGGATTTGTTCGAAGCGCTCAGTCTATAAAATTAATAAAACGATATTTCAGCAAGATTATCAAAGTGGGTACTTTTGGTGGAAACCACTTTGAAAATAAGGTAGGCAATCCTTTCAAAGAGATGTTGTTCTATTCTATTTGTTTATCTTTCGAACAATGCACACTCCCTAAATAGCTCCAAACGCTGGTGTAAAACTTTTAATCCCATTGCCACCTTGGGTGCAACTTTTTTACCCCAAATCAATCACTCACTGGTCTTTGAGACCTTACATAACTCTGATACAACTTGTGTCTACACTGCAATGGTCGGCTTTTCTGCGTGCACTCAATATTCATTTATCGAGTCTCTGTATCTTTTCACTGGACCGTTTACCGAGAGGACCTGTTCCCCCCCCCCCCCCACCCCACTCCACCACACCCCAGACTGGCAAAGTCGAAACAACCGGCTTCCAAAATCTCTGAAATGATAAATGTCGGTAGGAGCGTCAGACGATGGGAAGAGAGCAAAATGTTGAAAGTTCTTGTCCGTTTTATAAATAACGAGTTGCTGTGTCTTGAAGAGTAACAGACACCATTTGTATTAACAATTACTGGTTATTATGCCGAGGAGAGCGACACGCGTTTTGTTGTGGACTCTTTGGTCGACTACGACCCTGGCTCGCATTCGTACGTTGACATGTATTGTTTATGAACTCAGTTAATTCATTTTTAGGCTCCTTTCCAAGCATCACAAAAGAGGGGTGGTGTCTAGAGGTACACTTTTTTTAGGTAGACAAACTACAAAACCCAAACCACTCCACCTCTTTGTTTTGTAACATTATGTTAAGATTAAGATAATGTAAAGTTCTTAGAGTTGTGTAGTAAATAAGTGGGAGCTTTGGAAACGACCTGCATTAGCATTGTTATCATTATCCTTTATTTGTTGCAGTGACTTCAAGGAAGAAAAGACTCCAACATGTCTCGTTCTTCTGTAGTAAGCGTCTGCTTTTTCCTCGCCATCGGAATTCATTTGAGCTATGGTGAGAATGTTTTCGCTCTCTTTTTTCCTCATTTATATTATGATAAGTGGAAATATTCATCTTAATGATAGATTGCAATGATATCAATCATCATCATCATCATCATCATCATCATCATCATCATCATCATCATCATCATCATCATCATCATCATCATCATCATCATCATCATCATCA